AGGCGAAGGTGCAGAAGGGTTAGCTTGAAAGTATATGGAGAAGTGGAGCTTAGAGAAGGAAAGGTAGTGGTAGTGAGGTGAAGAAGGGGGGAGGTGTAATGATATGGGAGGAAAAACGAGGGTTCAGTCCTCATCTAAAAGAAAGGTTAACTGAAGCCTAACTAGACCTTTCTTGCTATAACTGGAGCCGTGTAACTAGTCTTCATTATATACTTAGGTCTAAAGTGTAACCTCAAAACTAGACCAATGCCATGCCGTACATTTAGTTCTTACGTTTACTTTGAAGTATGTACAATTAGCTCTCTATAACTCGTGCGACTCCCAGCGATTGATTCGTTCCAGCAGACCCATTCGATTATATAATTTTCTAACGGTAACGGTCGTTCTACATAACAGCCTACCAAGGCGGTGTATATAAACGTTCTTTTATCTAATATTTTTATATCGCTACTTATATATTCTAATAATATTGTATAATGATATTATAATATAGTTTAATAGAGCTCCAACCTAGCAACAAATCCGAACAGCGAACTATACTTAGTAGAAACTAGTACTGATCAGTATACTCACCGCTTCGCAAATCTTCAATCGTGTTTCTAATATGCTCTGAACAGCTAACGTTATAACGTCCATAAAACATAAAACGCCCTTTGCTTGCACTTTTTTTGGTACCTCAGCGCGTGCGCGGCACTAGGGAAATCCCCGAGACTGGTGATTTCCCTATTACGGTTATTCCCCGCGGAAAAATCGATGGTTACTCTATAGGCATAGCTCTATGGTATATAATGTTAATTAAGCGAATATTAGAAAGGCGATTGAGAGTTGTGCGAAGTGTGAAGCGGTGAGTATACTCACTAGGACTAGTTTCTACTATTAAAGCATAGTTCTATGACTATATGACGTTCAATGCGTTTATTACTAAGTTATGGTTACATTGTGCCCTTTGTACCCTATAATTTGTACCTTGTACATTTTAAATATTCCGACACTTCCTAATGTTTCAACCGGTTACGTGCGTGAGACATCCCGTATATCTACACGTGATAGAGTTGCCAAATTTGTTCATTGATACCCTGAAAACCGCGACTCGTGATTCCCCTATTTTGTTTCCGCGGGGAATAACCGTTACGGGGGAATCACCAGTCGCGGGGATTAACCGATTGCCACGCACGCGCTGAAGTAACAAAACCACGTGCCCTGCACAAAAACAAAACAAAGCACAAAACAAAGGCCCCTGCACACGGTGCGCATTCGGCGCGCGCAAACGACGCTGAGCTAAATGCGCACCGTGTGCGGGGGACTTAAACAAAGGCCGTTTTATGGTTTATGGATTTTCAGTTTGCTAAATTGAAACACATCTACGTAAGTACCGTCAACTCGAAGACATGGGGAGTTCGGACAAAACCCATAAACACGAAAACCCCTGGACAAAACGTGCCTGAACAAAACCCCTCAAGTAGGTCAAAATAGGGCAAACCACTTTGATAAAAGTGGAAAGTATAGGACAAACAATTTCTTGTATTTTATATTCTTATTGATTCTTATATTCTTCAATATTGACCCCCACAGGTAATCATTGTTTAGTCCGCGGTGGTCAATTTCAACGCTTGATCTAATCTCCATTGACGCTGTCAACAAAGCTCTTATCAAGGCAGGAATTGAGTGCAAAAAACTTACGCTGTTATATATATTTATGTATTTATTTATATAAAATATATATATATATATATATATAT